TTGTAACGAGACTTGGTGTTGACGACTTTCCCATCTCCCCCTTCCTCTTCTTCGTCTGATCCCCTCCTCTTCGTCTGTGTATGTCTGTACCTGGCACCTCTTATCTGTGTATAGTGCCAGGCCCCTTCACACCTTGTGATGAGCATGATGTATGTTTGGTCTGCGTTGAAACATTGATTGGGCTAGTCATTAGTATCCTAGCATTCTGTTTCGCTATCTTGTACTACGTGAAAGAGGTCAGTCCCCGTCAGGTCAGGACTTGTATCTAAATCTTCCACTGCGCTATAAAAACACCATTTTGTATGTATCAGGATGTACACTGCTTGTTGAGATTCTACTTATACTGCATTGTCCATTCAGTCCTTTTAATCACGTTGCGGATCTTCGGTTTTACATGTACATTGCCCAACTGGGCATGTAACAGTTGGTATCGGAACACCGCACGTGAATCAGGACAACCTGATCTGACACGCGTGCGGGGACTAGGTAGCTGATTAGTCTTGATTGATTGATTAGAGCACGCTAGTTAGCCCCCAAAATCACGATTTTCACCTCACTGCCGAGAATCAATTTTTTTTCTTCTTTTCTTGGATTTTGTTTTCTCGCTATTTCTGTTCTGGAAAATCGCAATAGCGCAACATCTGAGATTTCCGTTTTCGTTTTTCTTCTGAAAATTCGAAATTTCGTTGTTAGAAAATCCGGAATTTTTTTATTATTATAACTGTTTTTGAAAATTTCGATTTCTGTTTGCAATTTCCCGTTTGAAACGGTTTTCACCTTTTAGCAGTGGCGGATGTAGTACCCAGGGTTCGATCCCTAGACCTCACCCTACCCATGTACAGTATCTGTGTAGACCCCGAGAATTGAACCTGTGTATTTGTAGGCAGTTGGTAGGCCTGTCGTAGGTCCATAGGCAGCAGGGGTTCGATCTGTAGGTCTATAGCGTAGGAGTCTTAGTGAGTTCCGGAAGCTTAGCCATAGACCTTCTAGAAGGTAGGCAAGTGGGCAAGTGGTCAAGTGGTGAGGCAAGTGGTGGACTAAACCGCAGTGCAACAGCAGTACAACGTCGGGAGGATAGCGGTGAGTCCACAGCCAGTCAGCGGAGGGTCCAGTCAGTCCCAATCCGGTCCAGCAAGTACCACAGGAGGACTGCGAGCATCAAGGGCCGATGGCAAAGGGCAGACCAACGAGTTTCTGAAGAATAAATCAAGAGGCAGCGCCCAGCCATTCATTCATTCCTGCGTGAGCCATGCGGAAGCGCTGCCACAGCGACTTGTGCAAGGAGGTCTGCAGATGAGCCCGGAGGACGCAGTGGGCTAGAGAGAGGGAGTTAGCATAGCGATAGGTTAGGTGCAGCGACAGCTGCCATAGCTGTAGTTAGTAGTGAGTGTGTGTGTGTGTCGCGTGTACGTGCAGAGTGTTGCGTGTGGGACATCCAGGGTGATCCAGAGTGCGAACAGTGAGTTGTGTGGGCGCACAGTCGCCATAGCCAGTTGGAAGAGAACTCTTATCTGGTTACGATATCTTCGAGTACTGTGTGGGCGCATGTCGCCAGTTTGCTGTTTCGCTGTTTGCATGCATGTCGAAGTGTGACTAAGTCGAGTCTGATTGCACTGGTATCGGAGCAGGTACCCGCTGTTCCACGCGCGCGATGTGTGCGGGGCCGATAGGCCATAGCTGAAGTGACCGCCGGAGGAGGCAGTCCGCCATAGCGGACCTCGAGGTGGAAGAAGACGCCGCGCACCTGCAACAAGAAGACCACGA